TCTCCACCCCATCCCGAAACAATAACAAAACAACAACAAAAATAAAACCAGAAATATCCAATAAAATTAAATGATAACAAAAACAAGAGAAAACGAATACATTTGTTAATGGATTTTCGCACAAAAGAATAATCAAATAAACCGCAATTAAAGAGGATTAACGAATATAATGACCAAAAGAAAAAAAAAAAGGCCCTATCAATCAGTTAGTGCAGAAGTTTGAAAATGTACAACAAAGAAAGCAGCTAAAGACACCAATAAAGAAAAAAGGGAATTATGATGAGGTTTCAAGCGAATAGAATTTCTGGATGAGCTCTTTGTACACGGCTCGCCAGTCCAGCTGACGGGAAGTGTCACTCTGTTGTTTACATTTACACACATAACATACATCCGGGTAACTCCAGAAAATGTGTAGCATTGTGGCGAAATCAGGCGCTCGTCGAAATATTAAATCAAAGAAACTGACATTTTTTTTTTGGCCTGAGGGGGGAATTTTTTTCAATTCGTTTTTTTTTTCACTTAGCATGATTTATGTCCAACAAAAATCAAATTTTTGAGTAGATTTTACTGATGTTGAACAAAGGCATAAAAAAGGCTAATTCGCAGTTTACAAGGCCACTCAAGCTTCAAAAGTCACCAAACATTGGCGGCCATTTTCTTGTTCTTTTTTTACTTCGGTTACCAGGCGACTCCACATCTACTTCATTTGCAAATATCTCAACTTCTGTGCAAGACAGAATTATATTATTTTCATCAAAAGCCAGGCAAGTGAACAAGCTTTAAGATGATCAAAAAATTTCATTTGCCAAAAAATTGACTTGCGCTTGATTCTACCGACTTGCGATACAATCTTTCTTATCCATAATGGAATTGTATGCTCATTCCATGGAGCACTCATTTTTAGTCTGTTTAGAATTTATTTTAGGTTACAGCATAGTTTGTGATGCTGAAAAATTGGATGACAAAACTGAGTACGTACAAACGTGGAACAGGCTTCCGTGTACTAAGAGTTTTTCAAAATAAAAAAAAATAAAAAAGGAAAATAAAAAACTGCCAAAGAACTAGAAGTTGGTTGTTCTGGTAATCATGCAGTGTATGACAAGGGAGAAAATCATATACACCGTAGATCTATATGTATTATTACAACAGGGAAGGCATCTGATCAACATAAATGTCACCGAATCTTGCGCAGTATTTTCCCTTATTTGTCCACATTGTTGTCTTTCACAGGGAATCTCCCCCCCACCCCCCGCCCCCAAAACGTTTCCCCCCTCATAAGGTGGGGAGCCGCAGGCGTAATTAGTTTATAAAGCACAGATAGCCAGGTGACGGAAGGTGTCGCCTATCTGGTGCGCCCATGCTAAACTTCACCGGGAAAACGTCAACGAAAAAATAAACAAAATAAAAAACCATGTCTTTTGATCATATGACAGGGTCCTTCGAGAACCTTGGTTTTAAAAAGCAATTTACTACGCTCTCCTTTCGTCTTCTGTCGTCGTTTGGTGAGTAATTAAAAAACAACCAAAAAACAAAACAACCAAAAAACAAACTATAATATAATCAGTACTCTGCAAGACAGTTCACTCTCTTAAGAAAACGAGTCTTCAGAAATCCACTTTTTAAAATTCGTTTCTCAAATGTACTTTTTCTATTTAAAGACCAAAAGTTCGGCGATATATGTAAATTAAACATTATTTTATGTACATGTACACACCAGGGTTGCCTGTTTAGCAGAATCCTCAACAAAAGTAAAATTAATCTGGCAGTTTTAAAAGTCGTTTGACAGGGAAAAAGTCATTTGGCAGATTTTTACGGTTTTCTTTTGTTTTATTCTTTTACTACTTGAAATATGAAAATTCCTGGACGTTTGTTAATATTAGCGACTCCCGCTGACGATCAATAAAAGTTGACGTTTACATCTTGTAAATCCCACAAATACGACAACCTCAGAGCTTTGGGCAGTTGTATGCAAGTTTGGGGAGTTTCTTTTTTTCACACCAATTTGGTTGGGGGCCTGGGAATGATCTGGCAACCTGGTATACACGTGACTCTTGACCAAACCATATTACACCCAATGGCCATTTCACTGACAGATCTGTATTATAATACTTAAAGAGATTTAAACAATTTCTTGTATTATTTTTTCTTCAACAATAAACATCCTCTTTCCGTTCAAAACTATTTTGTCCAAAACCCACAAATCGTTCAGAGTTAGGAATCTTTGCTCACACTCTTTGTCTTTTCCACACGCCACTCCCTAAATACATATACAATGTATCATCATAACATTGATTCCACGGAAACTGACACATGTAACAAAGGGATGATAACCTGTTGGAAAAAGTCTAATCAATGAAAGAGCCATTCTTATTTTTTTGTTGTTGCTCGAAGAAGGTTGCATAAAACAAACAAACAAAAGGCTGTATTGCTACTTAATTTTTTTTTATAGTGAGCCATCTTCTCCACATTACGTGTTTCACTTTTCACGGAATGACCCTTCAGAGGACTAGATAAATCTAGTGGGCTACATAATAATTGTCGTCATCGACAATTTTTTAAGGACATAATTATCGTAAGTATCTTAAACAGACGAGTAACTCTTGTAAGGTACAACCTTTGGCGACGTTTAGCATGGCCGTATCTTGGGTCTGTTAGTTATTATCGTGGGAAACACGAATACCGAAAGTGCCAGGGTTACCTACACGCTAGAAATAAGGTACCATACACTTAAATTACAATATACTAGACTGGGCACTGTTAAGGCCGTCACTCTTTGCACTTTGTAAAGAAAAACAAACTCGCTGCGCCAATGCGCATTGCGTGCCTTGGACGTGCAAATGAAGGGAATAACACAAGTCTCGCTGTAGTCAAGTTTGCGTGCAACATTTTACTTTTTCTCTCTTTGCCCTTCATTTGGTTCCACAGAGAGTCAAATGGTACGCTCCTTTGTGAACGGGAATTACGTCATGATGACCCGGAATTACTTCAGAAGTGCCCAGTCTTGGATATTGTAATACAAGTCTATGAACGGTACAGAGAGCACGCAGATGGAACAGCAAAGAAACAAATAAAAAACAAAAACAAAACCATAACAAAACGAAACAAAACAAAACAAAGGAATCGACCAGCAGTGCTACGACATAACATAGTATCTCAGGTGCGTCGTATACCTGAACTGTGTACGGAGTCCACACACTGCCGTTTTTCTGAAAGGCAACGAGAGGTCGTCGGGGGGACAAGGGTCAGAGGTTACGTGGCGCACACATGCATTATCTTCGTGTAGTTGGGTTTGCATTGTTGGGTCAAAGGGGGAGAAAAAGGCCTGCGTACACTTATCAGCGAGCCTATAAGGTTTAACCCCCCCCCCCCCCCCCCCCCCCCCCCAAGCAAGCCCCTTCCACCACTCCTGTTTTTAAGCCACCTGTCTCTTCAGAGTGTAAATGTTTGCGGTGACCACAGTCAGGGGCGTGTTGATACTCGAGTATTAAACCCAGTGAGTACTCGCTAAAGTAGAGTTAATTCTCTGCTACTTGCTCGACTCAAAAACATCCAGTTACTCGAGTATCCACTTTTTTCTCCAAGAGGGGGCATTTTGTAGAAACAAAGAGTGTACAGTTTTCATCGTTTTTGTTTACTGCTGTTTTGAATTTCTTTTTTTGTTTGTTTTTGGGAGCATTACTGAAATACATTCTGGTAAATCTGTTTGTTGTTTTCACTAGCATAAATACTTCTTCTCTGCTGTTGTATTATCGTTATCATATATGTTGATTGGTTAAATTTAGTTCAGGTATCAGCAAGTTACTTTGAGCCCATGCTGACGACTACTCGAGTACACGAATGCTCACTCGGACATTTAATAAAAACTCAGATTCGGACTCGAGTTCAAAATACTGAACTCGCACAGCCCTAGCCCGTGTACACGTAGGGTAGGTGTCGGTGTTAAAGTGTACGTTTTATGCCTGGCCTCTACCTCTTTTAGTGAAAGGAGTGGTCTGACCGAATGTAATAAAGGAGCAAAAATTCGTCTGGAATCACACATACACACACACACACACACACACACACACACACAC